AGCCATGGGTGGAGGAATGGGGGGTGGGCAGGCGGGAGCCAGTGTTCATGGGGAACCTGCTTTTAAGCCAGTTCCCAGCACATACCAGCTCCTGCTTGCAGTGTGGGTGGGGTGGGGAGACAGGTGGCTCCACGGGAACTGGTACGCATGGGGAGATAGCTTAAAAGCTGGCTCCCCAGTATACCAGCTCCCACTTGCTCCTCCCCCTCACTGTTGCCTCTGAAACAGAGGCAGCAGCACAGGAGTGGGGGTAGAAGCTGTGTGGTACCATGCACATTAACTGATGAGACCCGTGTACACAATTACACTTTCACATCCATAGTCAGGGCTTGACAAATCCACTTATCTACTTGCCTGTGGCGAGCAGATTTCAGCCAGTCGCCCCGTTCACCAGCAGTTTGCACATGCGCAGTGCAGGTCTCACGCATGCGCAGTGCAGGGCTAGTGAGTGGTTTTTGCCACTGCCCATAGTGATGGCAGGACTAAACTTCACACTGGAAATTTGAGATGTATTGAGTTGCAGTGTTGATTCTGAAATCTAGTGGTGAATTAACTATTTAATTGCTGAGCATTTTTAATTGCTGGAAAATGTTTTTGCAATGCAGTTGCTCCTCATAAAATGCAGAGTTGGAAAAAAGTCATTAATCATTTTATACTGATGCATTTTACAGGTGCACTGTTCAGTGGCTTCCTCCTTCACATTCTCTAGAAGTCTTGAATGATAAAAGCAATGAGGTTCCTGTGTCAATTAGGAGAAAACTTTAATCAAAAGCCCCACGTTCTGCTCCTTTCCCCACTGCACTTCCTGGGAGAGCCCTGAACCGCAGGGTTCCCCCAGGAACCAGTGTGAAACGCAGAACACTGGCAGCTCCTCCAGTGGCTGTCCTACCCCCTTCCTCTGTTGGGACAGCTGCAAAGAACTGGATGAGACACAGCTCTGTGGAAGGGCGGGGGCAGGACTGTGGGTTCTACTCCTTTTCCCATAGCAGTTCCCAGGAAAGCCCTGAACCCCAGGGCTTTCCCAGGAAGCGCAGTAGGGCAAGGAGCAGAACTTCGGGCCACCATGCAGCCACATGATGCAGCTCCTTCAGCACAACTGTACTGTCTCCAGCCCTGTTCTCTGGCAGGGATGGCTGCTATAGATAGAGGGCTCGAAGACCGTGCGTGGAAGGGCTGGGGGCAGTAAAGCTGCACTGGAGGAGCTGTGGCCCCACATTCTGCTGCTCCTCTTTCCGGTACATCACACCAGCTTTAAATATCTCACTGGTACCGTGTACCGTACCACCCTGCTTGCGCTCCTGAGTGGAACACAAACAAGAGGGACCAATACTGCTGGGATCTATTTTATACTCTGGCACTGACTTGCTGAGAGTTTGAGAAAGTCATTTAAACATGCTGTATGCCCATGTGCAAAATGGGTATAACCTACCAGTTGCAGTACTGTAAAGCTTCATTAATAAACTGCAAGGGGAAAGAAAAATGGATTAAATCTGGGCAAAATAGTAAACACATCTATACAAATAATTCCTCTTGTGGCCAAGATTTAACTGACAGATGATGATAGATGGGTGACTGGATATCCAGACTGAGTCTCTAAAAATAAACTGATATACTGGAGTAAAAATTATTCTATTAAATGCTGGCTTTGTTCCTCACCAAACATAAACTGTGTGTGCTAAACAACACAGCCTTCTGGTAACCTGTGTAGTAAGTGGTACACTGAATCATTTTTTTTGGTCTAACACTAACCTTAGCCTCACAGTCGTATGTTTTGTTAAACCAAATGTAGAGACTAAATTCGTGATTTAGCAATAACTTGCTGGAGTTTAGACTTGAGATATAATTAAGGTGCAAATATATTTACTGTTCACTACTCATTAGTGGAAAAGCACATGAAAGCACTCCTTACACCCACTGTGGAGAAGGTTAGTTGACCAAAATCTTTTGCTGCTTCTGCTTGTTGAACTGGAGACCTGTGGATATCCACCAGCTGTATATATTCACTTCAATTGGCTGTCCCTCAAATAGTTTGGCATACATAATAACAAGCATAGGTAATATGTGTCTACAATGAAAGATTTTACTACTTCAACCATGCTGGCATAGTTGAAACGGCAAAACGCTCCTAAAGTAGGCACAGTGGTATGGGTATTCAAAGGCTTACTTCAATTAGGTGAAGCAAAATCTTCTACATTGCAATAAAGCACTTCCCAATAGTATTACCACATCAACACTCAAGCTTTTACTGGCAGTCATTCCAATAAAACTTTAATGTAGATGAGGCCTTAGTTATCTGCATTAACGTCTTAGCCTACAACTACTAGAGAGGCTGGCTTGCATGATGTAATAATAAGAGACAAGATGGGAGAAGCAAGAGCTTTTCCTGGGCAAACTTATGCTGGTGAGACAGACAGGCTTTGCAGCTCACACAGAGTTCTTCTCCAAGCTCATTGTCAGAAGCAAGTTTCCCAGATCTGAAGTTGGAAGGCATGGGGGGAGTTTGAAGGCCAGAAAAGGGGTTCAGAATATGTTTGGAAGAAGGTATAAAATTAGTACGAGTTTATGTGGAGGACATTTTCAGATACCTTCTCTATTTATTTCTATCTGCTATGGCTGAAACTACAAATGCATTTCAAGTCCAATCCTGATCGACCTTAAGTGCATGTACTGTGTACCACCCAATCAAAATTCTGGCTCATATTCCTGGAACCATAGAGGAAGCAGCTAGGAGCAGAAGGCATTCTAAAAAACAGGAGATGGTCTCCATGGCTGTCTACAGGAGTACACAACAGCATTGTTACAGGCTGGGGACCAACTGTCTAAGCAGCAGTTCTGCAGAAAAGGACCTGGGGGTTACAGTGGATGAGAAGCTGGACATGAGTCAACAGTGTGCCCTTGTAGCCAAGAAGGCTAATGGCATATTAGGGTGCATTAGGAGGAGCCTTGCCAGCAGATCCAGAGAAGTGATTATTTCCCTTTATTCGGCTCTGGTGAGCCACATCTGGAGTATTGTGTCCAGTTCTGGTCCCCCCACTATTGGCTCATATTCCTGGAACCATAGAGGAAGCAGCTAGGAGCAGAAGGCATTCTAAAAAACAGGAGATGGTCTCCATGGCTGTCTACAGGAGTACACAACAGCATCATTGCTTTTGCAAAAAGATGCAGCTGAAGGGCAAGCATGAAGCAGCCAGAGGGCTGATTGGTTCAACGTGATTCAAAATGGACTTCTGGTTCCATAATTTAAGACATTTTAGACCTCTACTTTCAGTCATTTGCTCTGCCTTCTGGAATTACAAACATTGAAATCCATAATCAGATGTCATATACAGCTTTATATTTAAAGCAAGTGGACCCAATGTTTAATAAAGATTTATTTACATATTTCAAGAGGTACCACACACATTATTGAATGAGGAAATAAATATGCTAGAAAATGTTTTGGAATTCCACTCAATACATGAAATTTGGTTCACAAGGGTTTTTTGTTTTTGTTTTTAAAGAAAATAATTACACTTTTGTATGGATCAGTGATATGGATGCTACCTATCTGCTTTTGCCCTTCTTTGCAACGACTTTAAGTTAGTTCCTCTCCAAGCTCCCAAAAATGCACAACAAAGGCAAAGATTGTGTTCAACAGATTTACTCAGACTGGACTCTTATATGCTTAAGAAGAAAAAGGCACAGATTAAGAGAGACTCCAATGACTCTTCTGAATACAGCAAATAGGGTTGTTTGTAACAAACAAAAAAATTACTGCTATGAATCGTATGGGCTAAGAAATTCAAACTTTTTCACCTTGTCCCAATTGTTTGCCTTCATTAAAATGGAATTTAAATTAAATTGTATAAACATATGAAATAAAGTCTTAGCTTTAGGAATATTTTTGTTTCCTCTATGTACAAACCGTAGTATACAATTTTTATATTTCATTATACATTTACTACATATTCTATAACAAACTGAGTCAGGCCAACTGTGAAGTATGCAATTTCCAAGACACCTTATGCACAAAGGCAGTTGGAATGGATCCCTCAGCTTTCATTGCTGGCAGTGCCAACTGGAAGTTAGGAAGGGCCGGGGTCAGTGGGTGTTCTAATCAAATGTAATCATCCTCTACTGGTTCGCCATTGACATCACAATAATGAATGAAGATAGCCACCACACGCTGGAAAACACCTTTTTTCATCTGGCGCAGTTCTGAGATCTCCTCGCCTATTGTTTCCATGCATATGTCTGCAGACAGCTGTCCTTTCCTCCGGGGAGCATAGATGGTTGCTATGACAGGTATAGCAAAAATGAGATAAAAATTAAATGCTTTTCTATGAAGAAAGTCACAAATTGAGAAAACTGTTTTTAGAACTAGGGATGAGCATGTAAAGAAACTTTCCTAAAGAGCTGACAATGTTTCTTTGGGCATGAAAGTCTAAGAGCTATTGGTCAGGCAGAAGAAGGAGGAAGTGGGCCTGAGGTATTTTCTTTTTGATTAAATCCCCACCAATGACTCAATTGTTTTAAGACTGAACGTTTGTACCAGAACGTTTGTACCTGTTTAGTACTACTGTGGTTAAATTCTGGCTTCGCCTAGAGTACTGGACTAGGGTTCAGGAGACATCTGCCACCTGGACAAGTCGCATACCTTCTCTGTGCCTGAGTTTCTCTGAGGGGATGGAGAAGTAAAATGAAATAATACTGACCATCTTTTGCTCAGCTTTTAATTAGTAGTGGGATGTAATAGTGTAGTTGATTAACTGATAAGCAAAAGTTTCTAGGTTAATGCTATAAACTACATGACTTCTCCACCTGCAACCCCCCCCCCGGAAAAAAGTTTTAGTGGGCTGGCCAGCAGCCTGGTTCAGTCTTGGCTCGCAACCAGTCTGGGACCTATCCCTGCTGCAGCCCTACATTGAAATGTTTTAGGAGCCAGCTGGGCAGGTGGCCCAGCTCAGTTCTGGTTCATGCTGAGTCCAGGAGCTTAGACCCTGCCCAGACAGGGATTGCTGCCACCCCGCACTGCTGTCTCTGTATCAGCTGGTCTGCGAGGGGAGCTGGTTTTTAAACTGGGTCTCCTCATGGACCAGGTCCCCCTAGCATCCTGTGCTGCTGCCTCTGATACAGAAGCAGCAGCATGGAGTGACAGGGTGCTCCTCAGGAGTGGGGCCAGAGCGCACTCGCTGCTCCCCCTGTCCCCGGGGACTATAAAATAGTCAATTAACTGCTATGAATTCATGAGGTTAATCGATTATTCAATTCACTGATATTTAATATTCCTAATTAGTAGATCTGGAAGTGCACTATAAAAGCTAGGCATTATTCACAATTTACCTTAATCCGCCTAGATGTTCTAGGTTATGGTATAAAATCATATAATGTGAACTGTCTAGACAAACAGGCTTGCATTAAGGATGAAGTTACAGCCTTAAGCTTGAATTTTTTTGTAGATTTAGAACCAGACCTCAAAAGGTGTCTTCTCATTGTTCAATTAAAACCAATACAATACAATCTACTTTGATGCAGATTATTAAGATTCATCAGGCAAATCAGTTTTGCTAATGATATGTATCCTCGGGACCTGACTGGTCCTAGATGAGGGATTTTGACGGACCAGGGGAAGTCATTTTTTGCCCCCCCTGGCCTCCGGTGCAGCCCCTCTCTAGGGCTTCCTTGTTTCCCCAGGGCAACCCAGCCCCCCCACCCCAGCTGAGTATTGGACTTCTCAGTTCCCGCCCCCTTCAGCTGCGCAATAGCTTCCAGACTTCCAGCTCCCCCCAGTAGCATAGCTAAGCTGCAAACTGGGCTCCTGCCCCGCTCCCGCCCTACAGCATGCCAGGCTCCTGCCTCCCACCTCCCCCTGCAACATGCTGGACCACAGATATTGCTGGACCAGAGAGACCAGGTTTACAGAGGTGTAACCTGTACAAAGTACCTGTCTGTCAAAAAAAGTCAAGTCATTTCACGACACGAGTTTTACAGATCCCTTAACATGCATTCCACACAACAAGGTGATCTTTTCCTTTTTCTTCCTACTCTGTGCATGTTATGAAGTAAAGGTTACTTTTCTACAAGTCACTCTGGCTGTGTCTAGACTATACCTCTCTGTCGACAGAGAGATGTAGATGAGGCACATCAAAATTGCTAATGAAGCAGGGATTTAAATATCCTGCACTTCATTAGCATAAACACTGCCGCAGTTTTTTCTAAATGGAGCTTTTCCGGAAAAAAACAAAACAAAACAAAAACCCAGCAATCTAGACGCGGGTGTGTCGAAAATAAACCTTTTTCTGACAGATCCTGTATTCCTCAAAAAACGAGGTTTACAGGATCTGTTGAAAAAGGGTTTTTGACAGATCCGCATCTAGACTGCCGGTTTTTCGAAAAAGCTCCGTTTCAAAAAAACAGCAGCCATGTTTATGCTAATGAAGCGCAGGATATTTAAATCCCTGCTTCATTAGCAATTTCGACGTGCTTGATTTGCATCCCTCTGTCGACAGAGTGATGCAGTCTAGACGTAGCCTCTGCTTTGTTAAACTGTCTTCATTATAGTTGGATTAGTCCTCTTAACTGATGACAAACTCATTTCTAGACTGAGAACTACATTTTGTTCCTTTATCACTATCGGGGAGCATAAAAGGGGCAGTACTAGCTGTCAGGAAATCCCATTGTTGGGAGGGGTTCAAGAGGTTGCAGAGGTACAGAAACAGCTCTATGACCACTACCTTTTGCAACTTTAGGAAAATATTTGTTAAAGAAAGAAACAGAATGAGTCTAAGTAGCATGTTAAGGCGGCAATTACTAACTTCTCTCATCATCCTCAAAATCGTATCTGGCATAGCTGTTTGGCTCTGCTGTTCGGAGCGACCTCAGCCAGGGGAAATCTGTAATCATAGAGTAAGGGGCTCCATCCACAATGCCTACAAGAGACAAAGACAAGGAAATGTTAGTGAGATTATATTGATGGGTTGTCTTTTTATTCCCAGTGCTTCTCTCTCACCGGGAAGAACCCAATGTTTTAGATAGATATACTATGCTAGTACAAGCAAAGAACTTCCCCAACCCTGGTATGCTCCATTCAATACCTGTCCAAGCCAGAAAAGGAGGTTACTTACCTTTCTGTAACTGACGTTCTTCGAGATGGGCGTCCCTGGGGGTGCCCCACATGAGGTGTTGAGTGCCCCAGCGCTTCCCGACGGATTTTTCTCTCAGCAATGTATCGGGAGCCGCACATGCGTGGCGCGCGAGCCTCCCTCAGTACTATCATGCATGCACTGCCCCCCTCCCTTCAGTTCCTTCTCTATCCGGAACCCGGCAAATAACGTATTATAGATGTTATCATAAGGGCATTCCGAAGTAGAGGGGAGGAAGGGAGGGTAGTGGAGCACTCCCAGGGACGCCCATCTCGAAGAACATCAGTTAGAGGAAGGTGAGTAACCTCCTTTTCTTCGTCGAGAAGCATCCCTGGGGGTGTTCCACATGAGGTGACTTCAAGCAATATTTTCTTATGGAGGCAGGGACTTCGGATCAGGTAAGTATGCCGTTTGTAGTACAGCTTCTGCTAGTTTGGTATGCTGGAGGGGTCCTGAGGTGAGTGCATAATGTTTTGCAAAGGTGTTTTCTGATGACCACGTGGCTTCTGCGCATGTCATGTAGTGGGATTTTCCTCAGGTAAACCACGGATGCAGCAACTGCCCTTGTGGAGTGTGCCCGAATTGGAACTGGTGGAGGTAGGTCATTTAGGGAAGGACAGGTAGCAATGCAATCTGAGATCCTATGTGACAACCTCTGTGATGAAATTTGTTTTCCCTTGCTATGATCTGCGATGGAGACGAAAAAGACGAGGAGAGGATCTGAAAGATTTTGTTCTGTCGATGTAGAAGGAGAGAGCCCTTCTGACATCTAAGGTGTGCATCTGAGCTTCAAAAGCATTAGCGTGGGGTTTTGGAAAGAATACTGATACCACCTCTGGGTATAGAGCCTGAAGACCTTTCAAAAATTGCTTAGTTACTGGGTATGCGAAGACTGTGGTGTCTTCCACTGTTGAGTGAAAGGTTGCAATGGCTGCTAGGTAGACTCTGATTGAGCTGAGGGAGAGATGTGATGTCTGAGGTGTAACATGTATTCCAGTATATCAGGAAGTGGAGCGTCTTGAGGTGGTATGTTACGAGAGGTTGCCCAGAGAACAAATCGAGTCCATTTGCTCATGTGTTTTTCTTGTTGCAGGTGCTCTGCTCTGTAAGAGGACATTACATACTTGTTGAGAGCACTGCAGTTCTATGCCCGTGAACCATCTAGGTACCACGCCTTGAGATGTAGTGAACGAAACTGTGGGTGAGTATACATGATCCCTGGCTGATAAAGAATGTTGGGATCTTTCGGAAGCATGATTGGTTGATGTATTGCTAGCCTGAGCAGAAGGGGAAACCAGGGCTGTCGGGGCCAGCAGGGTACAATGAGGATAACTTTGGCTTTGTCGTTCAGAATCTTTACGAGGACTCTGTTGAGGAGAAGAAACGGGGGAAAAGCGTAATGTAGGAGTGCATTCCAAGTTATAACAAGAGCATCTCCGGAGGACTCTTTCC